CTTATCATTTATTTTGACTGCCTTTATAAAATCAAATATATTTTATGGAAAATATGCACGAAAAAATAATTTCTTGTACTTGTTTGATAGCAAATTACACCTTTAAAATTTATACTCAAAGAAGGAGTAGCTTTTGGCTTTAAAAAAGTTGCCCTATTGCCGAATAATATTCTAACGTAGCGATTGCTACAATGGAATTCAAGGTTTAAAAACTGCGCACTGTGTACATCCTGTTTAAGGAGAAGTACGTTTTCACCTACAGTTTGAGGAAGAAGTCACATAATTGTCATAAAATATTGAAATACATGTGGAAAATATTTTATGCAGTATTGGCAGCATTAGTAAATTGACGGATACGTTGTATTATGAACAAACACCTCACAATTTTAAAAAAGCTCACAATTAGCACATTTTTTAAAACCGAAAGCTACTCTTTCTTTGAGTATAAAATGTAAAGAAGGCGCAATTTGCTATCAAACAAGTATAAGAAATAATTTTTTCGTTTATGCTTTCCATGAAATATATTTGAATTTATAAAGGCAGTCAAAATAAATTATAAAAGGCATAGTATTTAAATAGCCTTGTTTCTATAATATATGCGTTTTGGCTGGTAGTCAGAACGAAGCTCGTTAAAAAGCCCGCATCCTATCATGACTGAAATGACTTTAGAATGGACTACACAATAATCAGTATCACAACCTGAGTCAATGCCGATTAGCGAAAGAGTATCAGTCTTTCGCATATGTCGAAATGTTGCGTGAAATTTGGCGTCTACTGTACTTCATGATGACGTGAATAAAAACACAAACCATAATGACTTATATATTAAGCCCTCGAAATATATGTGTCGACATGCAGAAATACACGAAATTGATTTATTTTTCACTGTTTAAATAAAATCATACAGACAGTTACTCTACTTTACGTCATATTCAATACAAGTGATCCCCATTTTAGTAACGGCAAACAAACCAACTATCGAAGAGCAATCTTTGGTTGAGGGGAAGTAAAAGTAAAATCAGAAGAATCGGTGCATATACCAACATAACTGGAGTTGACTGAGTCTGAATATTTCGCACAGTGACTGGGAACCCTGGATAGTATTCTGTTAATAGTAAGCCCATGTCGAAATATATTAAATCTTTGCATTGCTTGTTGCTGCGAACACCCCACAGACCAATGGTTGTTGGTCATGGAGCTACTCGAGAAGTCCACACGACCGAGTAGAACATTGAGGCAAATAATCTCCTACTGCGTCTCCATGGACAGTGTGTCCACAATTAAATATTTAAATCCGTTTTTAAAAAGTAATTCAACAAATAATGTTGAATATCTAGACATGCTTAAAAGGTTTTACTATCAACTGCTTCCTCAGACGAAATTTATGAGAATAGGTATACTAACTTGCGATATTTTTGTAATGATTAGGTCGGAATCTTGCTATCTCAAAATTAGTAAGTCAGGCTTTTTACGGCCTTGATGCTTTTGCTTTGTGCATTTTTAGCTGTGGAGCACTGCCGCTTTACAGATATTCTACTCGACTGGTCCTGCTTGGGGTGGCCTTATAACCATGTCCTCCTACAACAAAGTGAACGACAAATTCAACAGGTATGAATGTTCTAAAAACGAGCCATTCTAAGTACGACCTTTTATTTCATCGGAGGTTGAGTATAATATTCGCGATTATTTGAGATCAGTTTTGTGGAGGCAAATGTAATGAACTGCACTTGCTATTCCGAATGCGAATTATTACACGCGACGCGGTATTTCACTATACGTTTTTGAGTATGCCCGCGTAGTTTATTTTAGGTCAAGCTTATGTTATTAACGCCACACGATAGTAGCAGCAGCATTTTAGCAACCGATAATCCTGCGAATGGTCCACTTAAAATGTGGTTGGCATACTCCCGCCGAAATGGTTTGCATAACACTAACTATTAAGTTGCCTTAATTTTTAACCGGTTTCCTCAAAGAAACACCGGAAAGCTTGGGACGGGAGTTTGGGCACGTCATAATTGGTAGGTTAGGCCTCCCACGTCGCCTGGGAACAACTTCAGGTATAAAAAGGTACCAAAATTACGCACATCTTCCATTTCCTACGATATTACTTGTATTTGTTTGAAACTGCCTGTGTGGTGTACTTTAGGGTAGGTTTAGGTTATTAACGCAACCTGATAAAAACACCAGCATTTTAGTAACGGGTGATCCTGTTAAGACGTCGCTTAACATGCCGCTGGCGTGCTTACGCCGATATAGTCTCTGTAATCTGCTATTCATATGCCCACATTTTTGAAATGTCTCCTGTCTGCCTGGAAAATTTGGGACAGGATTGAGGGTCTGTCACAGTATGGACGTAAGGCCTGGCCACATAGCAGGGGCACCATTCCACACTTATGCCGAAAATAGTTCTTGCCTGACTGCAGTATGTTCTGAATGTTGGATAAAAGGTTCCCAAACATGGGAATTCAGAAGTTCAAAAGCGTATCGACACCAATTCTAGATTAGCGTCTTCGGGGTCAGATTTCACCGACTTGGCCCTGTGGTTGGACAGGCGCCATGGTTTTCAGTTTTATTTAAAGTTGTTAGACAAGAAAACACGTTGGCAAGAACGTAGGGGAGAGAGCAATCAATAGTTTGGAGACATTCCGTGCTTGTAATTTAACAGTTCTATCTGCACGATATTGCTGGAGCATTCGCTACCAACTAGAGCCCGGGTTAGGAATCATACCTTCTAAATAGAAAAAAAAACATTGATTACATCGTGAACCCGGCTGTTGTTATCTCCAGGAAATAAGTACATTTTAGGACGTTTTGTGTTTTTTGTAGTGGATAGAGGAGATGTGTGATGGCCTATATAAAGACAGAAGCCAGTACTTACACAGCATTAATTATTACTCCTTACTATTCCTTTTCATCGCTTTTTAGGATAGCAGTTCTGCTGCCAATTATTGGTGGTGCTACAAGTATCTACGGTGGCGTAGCCATATTTTCGGTGATAGGACACATGGTGCACTCCATGGGCAGTACCGATGTGGCCGCAGTGATGCAGTCGGGTCCGGGACTGGCCTTTGTGGCCTACCCAGAAGCGCTGGCCAAGCTGCCCGGTGGATCATTTTGGGCCGTCCTATTCTTCATCATGCTCTTCACTCTCGGGCTCGATAGTCAGGTAAATCGAACCGACTAACGATATGGAGGCTAGCAAAGTTTTTCTTCATCCTTCGTCCGCTCTCCTTCGACTGATCTAATCCAGGAAAAAAGATTGAAGTTGCGGCTGTCAAGCGTGGATTCCTATATATCATCAAGACCCTAATACCTATTACACCATGTAGTAATTTTTTAAATTGGTAGTCAGACTGCAGTCTCATGAAAGGTTAATCAATGTTAGGAAATGCTTTTTGACCTTGTAAATGCATAGCTCAAATTGAACCCATGCTCGGATCGCACATACTTGAACATAAGCAAACTGGGCGACAGGGCGAGGGCCTATCGCAATTTGCTGCTCCCACCTACGGAAGGTTCAACGTTCTAGCCATCAAGATACTCGCCCACGCCGGAAACAAGATAAGCCTAGGATTAGTAGGAGTCTGGTCCAAGGATATGGACTTAATAAGACGATATATCGAATTGACCCCGGCGTGTGGGGACCTGTATAGTTAGCTCTAGGTCTGCATCACCGATAATTGATTGGCTTGGACACCCTGTAGTTGTCGCTCGCATGCTGAGGCTACTCTCGCTGCTATCTCAAACGACGAACCCCTGTACGAGTTTTAAAGCTCAAAATAATAATAAAATATTCCAGTGTTTGACCAATCCATTCTTTTACTCAAGGAAGGCTTCCATCAAACAGAGTATAAATCGCCAATAGAATTGAATATGCGAGTTCCAGGAAGCAGTTCC